GTGTAAAAATCATTATGCAGTGGATTGCCTTTAACCAAATAGGTCAAATATGACAAGTCTTAATCCATCTGGGATTTGTAGTGGGAATGCTATAATAAAGAATAGTGAATTGTAAGGGAGAAATATATCATTTATCTATCTTACACTGACAGATACCCTAACACAATGCTGATCTGTAGGAGTATTGCCAGATTCTTTATAAGCCACTGTTTTTCTTTAAATTTCAAGACATTTGTCTGGTTTACCTTTACACAAAAAATTTGAAAAAAACCCACTAAACTGCTTTTATATGGAAAAAATGAAATATATTTATTTGATTTCAAAACAGGGAAAAAAGCTACATTGTGTAAATGAAGATATATTTTAGTAAAATACCAGCTCCCTATCCTGGTCAGTTAACACTGCCTTACTGTAAGAACAAAAAGAAATGTGGAATCTGGAACAAAATCTTTGCAACGGCACATTCTCTGTTCAAAAAAGGAAAAAACCAACATAAACAACTGAATTTACATGTTTATATATAAAAATAGAAAAGCTTTGTTTAGAAGACAGGACATCTAAGATGTCTGAGAACATCAATCTTCAGCTTGATAAAGACAAACTTGCATTGTTTTTCTTTTTGAAGCTACAGCAGCATGTGTTTTATTATTCTAATCTGCAGTGTATGACCTGCTGCTGGAAGTTGGTGTCAGCTCCCAGGAGAGATTATAAGAATCTGACCAAATGGTCTCTGAAAACTCAACATATTACCTGGAGAGATATATATAGAAACACGGGTACAATAATTTGATTCAAAAAGAGAAGGAACACTTAAAAGCAGAATTTAACACTGTAAGAAATTTGAATGTTACCAAGAAAGCCAGACATCAGAGTTTCCATTTTGTTCTGCTTCACGAAAATACAATGGTCTGTGTTTGTTAGTAAAGCAAAATAGAAGTAAATATTATGTTAAAAATAACATTGTTACCTATTAACAATATAATTTTAGGAAATATTGAGAAATGGCATAATTTTATTTTACGTTTTAAATTGTCAGAGTTGCAAGACCTAAGTACAATCTGGATAACTAAAACACTTCTTTCTTTAGAAACATTTTGTAAGATCAGTTAAGCTATCGGAAAGCTTTTATTCTCTCTTTTCCTTATTTGTGGTACTCTGGTATTGTTTAGAAACCCTGTAACAAACCAGCACAGAAGTTAGTCCCTGCCTGGGTATACTGTGTCTGCATACTCAGCTGGAATGGATAGACATTGAACTACTGAATCAGCAGTTAGTAATTATGTGTTTTTGGAATGTAGCTTTCCTTGTGGTTTGAAGAGACTTAAGTTTATGATGAATACAAGTGGAATCGGCACACAGATATGTATTAAATCTGTATGGAATCTCTTAATAGACAGTTGGCAGTTAATTTGTACACCACAGAAGTACTGCCAGGGCTTTTGATATGCTTAGTATTAAAACTTTTTCATCTTTCAGGAAAATTCAGTGATTTCTCTAGAATCGCTTTGCTCCCCCATGCAATTTCAGCAGTTCTGCTCAGTTTATCACCTCATGTTGGGTGCTCTCTTCCTTTGTTCTGTCCTTGCAGCAGGTTCTTCTGGCCAATCCATGAGGCAGGAGGCAAGCCCAGTGACCAGAGTTTGCTGCCTGTTTGATATAAATGACTAGTTGTTGCTTTGGGGTGTCTGACACTGCCAGTTCTTTGCAAACACCTGCTATTTATAGCATTCTGTTTCCATTTTACCTCTTGTCTGTTATGGTGAAGTGTTAGCAATACAGCCCTGATGTTCCATTTCAGTGAAAAAGGGCGACCTGCTGTGCTAATTGTTGGGCTACGCTGACTCTATTCTCACTACTATTTCTGATTCTTCTGTACATTCTTTCTGTAATTTTCTGTTTTATTTTCGTACAGGCTTCAAAATACTTGCCTGGAAGTGCTAGCTTATGGTGCTGCTTTTGCAGCAGCACATGATACAGTAAAGATAGAAGGCCAGGGTACTGACATTACTTAATAACTATAGTTGAAGAAATGGGGGACGTGACATGTAAGAAAAATACTGAGGGGACTGATACCCATGTGCATGGTCTGTATAGAGAGTGGGGAAGTGATTCAGGAGCTTCTGTTTCCAACCAAGTGTTTGTAACTAGACTAACCCTAACCCTTTTCCTTTTTTATGATTTGCCCCCTCCCTTAAGTGATGCAGCTTGATCACCACCCTTCCTTTCAAGACTAGTCTGGCTGTTTCCAAAGCCATATTTTTCTAGTGTTGGCATCAGTTGGAATGGTTTATCTTGCCTGATAGGAGATGTTTTCTTTTGTTGGGATTATGATGATTTCCCAGCTGAACTCTTGATGTTCTTTCACTGGGTAATATTGAACATATTGATAAATCTTGCATTCATCTGAATAGACAAAGCAGTTTCCTTATTAGGTGATGATCTGTGGTGCATGAGATTAATTGATCTGAACTCTGTTAGCCTGTTAAAAATTTTTTTTGTAGTATATTATGATATACCTATATATGTGTTATATATTAATTTGTTTGTAGTATATTATAAAGGTGTATACATTCAAATTATGATATACCTATATATGTGTTATATATTTGCTATGTAACAGATATATGGTATGCATGCTGTCTGGGTAGGGCTGTTTTGTGGCTTGAAATACCAAAAACCAGAAGGTGAAATGCTGACATACACATGAAAACATGTTTGGTCTCTTTAGGTTTGGAAAGCTAAACTGGGCTAGGTTGCATGTGGAGTGGAATGGTGGCTTGAAGGAAAATGAAATTATCATCTTTCATTCACTGCTATTTGAGATGTAGGACTTACACAGACCATACATGTAACTTTTCCTTGTATCTGAAGGAAAAAATCTCTTACTATCAAGTACTTACTGTACTTAACTTTACCACAGAAAAGCTGTGTTCATAAAAGACCATTTGGAAGCTTCGGCTGCTGTCTCTAAGTACAGCTCCTGCACACTGTGGTAATGGTTTTGGTGTCATTGGTTTTGAATGTTGAAGGTGTTGCTCTCCAGCATATAGCAGCACAGGGCTGCATTAAAATCGTTATAGGCCTAAATTTTTAAGATCCTTGAGGCCAGTGGTATTGTGTTTAGCAGCTGAAACTTAAGCTCGCTTAGACTCAGTTATGGGTATTCTGACATTTGTGTTTTGTGCAATACTTTTATGGTCAGGTACTGAGGAATGCCTGATAAATAAGTTAATTTCACTTTTCAATGCTGCCTGAAACATGCATGCATGTAGAATTCCCATCAAATTTAAATTTATGGATTTAAGTGGATTTAAATTTTTATAAATGTATAGTCATAAACTGAGACTGGGCATGATGAAGTTAGTAAAATTAATGTTAATTTATTCCGTAGCACCCTAAGTAAGTAGTGTAATAATAAATTTAATATAATTATTTGTTCCTGTTTTACAATAATATAAGAGTGAAAACACAATATGAACAACTTTTTTCAACATATATATGTGTAGTATAGCTTCAGAATAATAACAGAGAAGGAGGGATTACTGCAGTGTTGGTGTTTTGAAACCCATTGTTCATAGTTTCTTGACATTTATGTTACTAAAACATAATTTTGAAAAATATACAACTATAGCTTTTGCTGTTACAGTTTAATTTCTGCTCAAGCAGCTGATATCTGATAAAATTGTCAAAGCAGAAAACAGTAATTCTATCCAGTATTTCTTGACCAGTGTGTAGACTCATGATTCACACAACGCAGTCTGTTCATTCATCTTCCTGGTTTGATAGGCTAAAATTGTTTCACAGTGAATGGAGTAGTCATATCCATATAGCAGAACAATGTATAGACTAAATTCTGCACTAAAAGCTCTCTTTGTAGCCAGAGATTGACTAAAGATTTAGAATGTGTGCCTTTGTAAATGTAAGCTTTGTAAAGGGCTTTCCTGAGGCAGCGGTCGAGATGGAACTTGCTGCCTGTCCCAGTGTGGTCAGAGCACTCCTCAATGGGCCCTGCACACTGCATCACGGGCAGAGTTAATGCTGGTCTGTTTGCATAATGCTGGGGAGATAGCAAGCAGGTTGTGCAGTCTGTCCTCATGGTTGCTATAGGGATGTCTCCTTGTAGGTCACCACAGACATGCTTGAAGATTTTGCTTTATAGAAATAACTGAAAACTTGAGTGCAACTAAATAGGTCCATGATTTGAGGTCCTGTCCTGGTAAGTGTTCAGCTTGATGTAGTAAATTTAGACAAGGTGAATTCTATTAATCTGTACAGTTTTTCAGATGGAAACTTGGTAGATACAGTTCTGTAAGTGGAAGTAGTTTATAGGATCATCTATTGGCATGTGGATAAGATATGACAAGTAAATGCAAAGAAACTGACATTCTGGTTTTGGATACAAAATAATTTGTGTTTCAGAATGAATTACTGAAAAATAATTTGTTAAAGTGACCTTCCACATACTGGGATTAGAGATGCACTCTGTTTGAAATCATGGTCCAAACGCTTAGAAATTTCAAGTTAGATGTTGCTCTCAGATTAAAATTTCATCCCAGTTAAGACTCTAACAGATAGATTCAAATGCCAATAAACCTTAGAAAGTATGGATTTATGTAGCCTTTCTTCATTGGAAGGACTAAATTGAGCCATAAAATCTCATTTTGGTTAGCTGTGGGACATGAGTGCTGATTCTCCTTCCCTATTATGTTACTCCAGTGCGTTGCAAATGGAGTTACATGGTGTAAACATTGAGCTATT